GTAAAGCGCTATACAAATACAGACCATTTACACACTCAGACACTTCCATCCCCACCTTGGCTAAAATCTCACACTGGCTTGATCTTCCAGCAGCACCTTGCTTTCCAAAACCCCAAATTCTTTTGGCGATACACAAAAGCTGAGTAGCATAGTGTGTATTTCTGTTTTCAAAATACAGGAGCCTGTACCAGGGTTGCAGTAATTAATTACAGTAATTGGTTTTCCTCATCAACTGTGTTTAAAAGATCAAGAAAACAATCGTGCTTTTTTGAGACTGGACATGACAAACGGTGGGTGGATCAGACTGAAAAACTGAGCGTGCTGTACACTCACATGGCAGTGACTTGTCAGTCAGATGGTTGGCATGTCCTATAACAAACCCTCCTTATTGTCTATTTTAATCATATTTTACAAAGTGAGAGCCACACTGTAATAACACTCAGTTTCAGTTTGTTTCCATTTGTGTCGCAAAAGTATCACTGCTGCTCGCTGAGTGGTAGCAGTAGTAGCGTCGTGTTGTGATTTGGCGCTATAGAAATAAAACTGAAATCGAGACCATTTTGCTACCAAATGGTCCCTTTTGCACATTTTGAAGTAAAGTTGATTGCCATGATAGGACAACCTTTAATAAGTGAAAAACTTCTATTCAAATTATAGGCAACAGCTGCAGTCTGGTAGCGACCCAAACAATTGCATGCAGTTTATAGTGCAGCACTGTGCACCTCTTTGAGACCAAGCAAGCAATACACATTCCTCCATAGCACCCAGTGGTTGCCAGGAGGTCTCTAGGCCTGTGGGACTAAAATCTGTCGACTGCTATGATTTGGGTTGGTGGTAGACACCGAAAATATTCTCTACAATTCTAATTCTTCTTTCTCTCCCCACAGCACACCAGTGCGGGTGCAGAGGGCTCCGGTCAGGCTCTCGCCTCCCCCGGCTCCTGCCTGGAGGAGTTCCGCAGCTCCCCTTTCATCGAGTGCCACGGCAGAGGGACATGTAACTTCTATGCCAACTCCTACAGCTTCTGGCTGGCCACCGTGGAAACTTCTGAGATGTTCAGGTGTGGATACATGTGCAAATGTCTGTAAAGGGGAAAGTTTATTGATGAGAAAATATCCTCACACCATATATCCATGGTTTTATGTTATTTACACCAATTTCTGACCCTAAAATCTGGATAGTGACGCAGAAATTAAGACTCATTAGAACAGACAGAATTTTTCCAGTCTTCTGTTGAATAATTTGGTGAGCTTATGTGAATTGTAGCTTCAGTTTCCTGTTCTTAGCTGGCACAAGTGGCACCTGGCTGGTGTGGTCTTCTGCCGTTGGAGCTCATTCAGAGATGTTCTTCTGCAAACTTTGGATGCAATGAGTTGTTATTTGAGTTAACTTTGCCTTATTATCAGCTTAAAACCAGACGGGTTTGAGCTGATAGGAACACTCAATAGATATTTCCTTTTTCAGAGCATTGTCTGTAAAAACTAGAGTTTTGCAGATGAATCTCAGTAGTTCACCTGTCTCTAAAACTCTTGAACCAGATCATTTGACTCCAGCAACCATGCTATGTTCAAAGTTGCTTAAATCACATTTCTTCCCCGTTTTGCTCAATTTGAAATTCTTTGCGACTCTTCTTTGCCATGTTTATTTCCCTAATTTTAGTTGCTGTTGAGTTGCTGAATAAATATTTGCAGTAATGAGCAGCTGAACACCTAATAATGTGTATAATGAATGCATATGTATATATGAATGTGTATAATGCAGTACTTACATGACCCACGTTAAAATCAACCCTCTCTTAACCATCTTAATACTTATGGCTCTTACAGAAAGCCCCAGTCTGAGACCTATAAGGCAGGTAGCCTACGGACACGTGTGAGCCGCTGTGCAGTCTGCATGAAGCGCACGTAACGGCATGCATGCCACCAAGCAAACACACCACTGCCAGGAGGTGGAGAGACGCCCATCGATGACGAGAGACGATTGGACGTACAGTGGACAAGTGTGGCAGCGGGTGGGGGCAGTCACGATGAGTTGGAATTCCAATGGTGCATTGTCTTCCGGAAAAACAAACTACAACTAAAACAATGGTGCTACTGTGCAACACAGCTTAAAAAAAAAGAAAAAGAAAAAAAAAAGAAAAAAAACTGACGTAAACAAATCTTACATTTAGTCTTTGTTTGTCTTAAGAAGTACCTCAAAATGAAAGCAGAATATATTCAATTCATGGTGCCACGATGGATGTGTGACAACAAAACTGCATTTTTCTTTCTTTTCCCTTCTTTCCCAGAAGGATCTTTGTTCCCTTTCCCTCTTTTTCCCCCAAAAATTACGTTTGACACGTTGGTGCAGCAAAAATGTGACAGAGTAACTTTTTATTTTATTTTATTTTTGATAAGGAGTTGATGATTTTCACAGTTACCAAATCGGCACTTTGACTTCGGAACATCCATGATGACAGATGCACTGACGATGAGCTTTCTGTAGTGAGAATGACTGCTTTTTTAAAAAAAATTTACCAACCTTTCATTCGCACACCCTTTCTTTCTCGCTCTTATTTTTTCTGTTTTACGTTACATTTCGTAGTAATAACCCTGCTGTCTCCCACTCTTTGCTAACCATATCGCCTTCTTTTGCTTATTTTTTTGTTTTTGTAAGTAATGCAATGTGTATATTGTGTAAAACACTTTTGTTTTTAGTGTATTAGCTTGAATCACTACCAGCTGTTTGTTATGCACGGCGATTTTCCAGGTTCTTCTTAGCTCACACATTCACTTAACGCACGTTGACTCAGATATTGTACAAAGTAAGGCTTTTATGAATGAAACAGTATTTTATATATAATAAATATATATTTGAAAAAAGAGGATTAAAAAGTATATAAACTTTATTCGGCTGTGGAGAGCTTGTTTGTTGTTTTTAACCACGAAACGGTCATACATTACATTTCATGAAAAAATAAAGCTTACTACTGAACGCAAACAGCCATTTTCATGAAACTATAACAGTCTTATGTGATATTAACAATGCCAATGCTTCAACCGTTTGTATTGTTCCACTGAAATAAAGGGGATTTGCTTTTAGCTAGTTGAACGATTGGAAATTGTTACGAATATCAACGCGTGAAACGGAGAAAATAAAGTTCAAATAAATTCTTCATTATTTGATTAGAAAACAGGGACATTTTTTGTGTTTCTTACATTTCCAGGTGCTCGGAATTTTCTATAAAAAGATCCTGATGTAGTTTGAAGGGGCTGCCTTTGTTCCCAACACTTTCAAATCCACTTTTACTGGCTTGAATTTCTATCCCAAATTGGATAAAGTGTTCAGGCTTCCTGGTGTGGTAACACAGGTCTGAGCGTACAGATTCCTGATGTACTGTAAATCTATGCGAGCTGTTTGGGGTAGGGTAGGGTGGGTAGGGTGAAATATTTCCCTGTGATTTTTATTGTTTGTTTGTTTTGTGTGTGTGTTTTTTTTTTCAAATCTGCTTTTATGAATTCTAATTGTGTCAGCCTGGGGTGCGATTAAAAAAAATGTGCATTTTTTTTTTCTTTTTGTTGTTTTGTTTCCATTTTATGTTATCCGGAAGTTGTTATAAACTTTTAAGACTGAAATAAATACTATGTCCAAAGTGTTGCCTTCATAAATGACTATGACTAAGAAAGAACAGTGGGTGACTTCTTATAAGTCACCAATTTGGATCATTTAGATTTAAAAGTAAAAGAAAATAAGGGCTCGGCTGGCAGTTACAATCTACAAGTCCTCACTTCTCCTTCTGTTTGTGATGTCAGTGCCAAGTGACAGTAAAGTAAATAAATTGGATTGTATGTACATATATATATGTATTTACCATACCACTGGACTGAGAGAACAAGGTGGCACATATGGGTGCAGCAGCTCAGACAAATAAAATGGGGCACAATTATTAAGGACAAATAAAGGGATTTTAAAATGGATTGATAATCGAACTGGAAGCCAGTGAAGGACAGCTAAAATTGGAGTGATGTACTTTTGCTTGCCAGATGAAAATTGGACAGTCAGGTTTTGCATCAGCTGTAGGCGAGCAATGGAGGCCTGCCTCATTCTGATAAAGAGTGCATTGCATTGCAGTAATCATGCAGTAATCAAGACAAGAGGTAATAAAAGCCTATATTAAGGTTGTGTTTGCACAGAAGAGGCTTGATCTTTGACAGTCATTTGGAAAAAGACGGCTTTTACTCACCACGGTTAAACAAAAGAAGACTGGAGGAAATTGTTGCCTGGTCTGATTAGTCATTGAGAATTCCTCTTGTAGAATTCAGATGGTAGAGTCATAATTCCCGTGTAAACCACATGGAACCATGGATCCATCCTGCCCTGTATCAACAGTTCAGGATGGTGGATATTTTCTTGGCACATTTTGGGCTGGTTTCTTGAACATGACAATGAGTTCACTGTACTCAAATAGCCTTCAGAGTCACCAGATCTCAATCTAATAGAGCACCTTTGGGAAGTGGTAGAACAGCAGACTGACAACATGGATGCAGGCGTCAAATATTCAGCCACTGTCTAATGTTATTATGTCAATATGACCAAAACCTCCAAGCAGCTTGAATCTATGGCATGAAGAATAAAGACAGCTCTGAAGACAAAAGGGGGTAAAAATCAAGTACTACCAAGGTATGCCTAATAAAGTGCCTGATGAGTGTATATTAACAGGACAACCCCCACCTTAGTCCTCATGGCGAATATGTAACCATATGTAAATACTGCCAAATACATAAAGACCGAAAAGGCAGTTGGTACAGATGACGTACCCATGGATCTATTAAATTTCACCTGCGCCAACTACCCTTAAAAACTATGTTGTTATTGTTCATGAGCTGCTCTGCAACATTTTCTGCCAAAATGGTGGTGAAGATGATACGTTTCAAGTGACAGTTGGAATCTGGGCAGAGGAATGTTGTTCCTCCTTATATAACAGGTGTGAGGACAAGTTCTCTTTGTCTGAGACGGTGAGTGAACTCCTGTCTGCAGGTAAGAGAGGCTTCGGAGTCTAGTTTGTTTAATTGTAGTGCTGTGGTGCACTCGAGATCTTTTCAACTTGTATCTTTGTTTTTGTGTTAATGAAACACGTCACTGACTCAGTGTATGTCATCTTTAGGAAAAGCAACCATCCTCTCTGTCTGAATCTGACTGCATAGCTGACTATCTCTTGCTCCACTGCTTTAAAGGAGACACCATATATCAACCAAAGTAATTCCAAAAAAGGTAAAGTAGGAGACATATTCCTTGTACTTGTTCCTCAAGTATACTTGTGCTGTTTCGGGGTTAGATTTCCAGTAAGCTGCAGCTTTACCTCTGTTGCATTTGCTCATTCTAATTTGCACAATATGTCTTGGTGCTCTTGTGACTGGGATTTTTTTTTAGTATTTCCTGCAGCAACTGTAACAGCTTGTTGCACTCTTCATTGTGGCGTCTATTATTTTCATGTTTGTAAATAGTTCTTAACACAGAAATCTACATTAAAAGCTTACCTGTTCCCACAGTTCACTTTACATTCTTGCTGTTCAACAATAAAAAGATTTATTAAGACTGGGAGGTACGAGTTTCACAAACTACACCTTTTTCTGAAATGAAGACTAACCTGATACACACTTCTTCACTGACAGTGAAACAGTTTTGGCATTCACCTCTGCACACATAATTGCACAACAACGAAAGAAGATGGAAGACAGACAATTCTGCTGTGCTGTCTGTCTGGATCTACTCAAGGATCCGGTGACTATTCCCTGTGGACACAACTACTGTATGAGCTGTATTGAAACCTACTGGAAAGCAGAGAACGTAAAAGGAATCCACAGCTGTCCTCAGTGCAGACAGGCTTTCACACCGAGGCCTATGCTGGTGAAAAACACCATGTTAGCAGAGTTAGTAGAGAAAATGAAAAACCTCCAGCCTATCCATGATTCCCCTGCTTCTGAAAAGCACAAGCTGGTAGATTTTTCAAAGGTGTTGAAAGCGAACACCTGTTCAGTTCACAATGAGGTGATGAAGGTGTTTTGCCGCACTGATCAAATGTGTGTCTGTTGTCTCTGCTGGATAAATAAACATAGAGGACATGAAACAGTTCCAGTTGAAAAAGAAAGGGCAGACAAAGAGAAAGACCTGGAGTTAATTCTGAAAGAAGTCCAGCGGAGAATCCAGACCAGAAAGAAGGAAGAAGGAGTACTTGAGAAAGAGATAGAGGGGATCAAACTGTCTGCTGATACAGCAGTGAAGGACATTGAGATGACTGTTGATGAGCTGGTGAGTTTCATCAAAGAAAACGCCTCAAATTTAAAGCAGCAGATCAGATCCCAGCAGAAAGATGAAATGAGTCGAGTCAAAGAGCTTCAGAAGAAGCTGGAGCAGGAGATCACTGAGCTGAGGAGGAAAGAAGAGGAGCTGAAGCAGCTTTCACGCACAGAGGACCACACCGAATTTCTTCTCAGTTACTCCACAATGCCCGTATTCATTGACTCTACAGATTCACCAAGCTTTAAAATCTGTCAGGTTAAGTACTTTGAGAGTCTTCAAACGGTGATATCAGAAGCTAGAGATAAACTCAAAGCATTTCTGTGTGATGAACTGTGGAAGCTCACTCTGACAGTGAGGTCAGTGGATGTTTTGCTGCCACAAAGTGATCCTAAGACCAGGGATGACTTTTTAAAACATTCATGTCAACTCACGCTGGATCCAGATACAGTTCACAGAAAACTCTTCCTGTCTAATCAGAACAGAACAGTTACAGACATGCTTCAAGATCCAGATAATTCCTGTCTTAAGAACAGCGACAGGTTTTCCATTGAGCAGCAGGTCCTGAGTAAAGAGAGTCTGACTGGACCTTGTTACTGGGAAGTGGAGTGGAAAGGGAAAGGAGTTTCAGTAGCCGTAACATATAAGAATGAGAATAAACTGGATCAAACTGCATTTGGAAGCAATAATAATTCTTGGGCATTAGATTGTTACAAGGACAGTTATAAATTCAGACACAACAACATGACAACTCGCCTCTTAGGTCCTTCTTCCTCTAAAATTGGAGTCTATCTGAATCCCAGAGCAGGTATTCTGTGCTTCTACGACCTCTCTGACACCATGGCCCTCCTCCACAGAGTCCAGACGACATTCACTGAGCCGCTCTATGCTGGACTGTGGATTTGGGGAGGGTATTTTAATTCAACCACTGCTACATTAAATGAGATACAGTAAAATACTGTTAAACTGATTTTGCCTTTATTTGTTATATTTTTTCTATGATGTAATATCAAGGGTTTGTATGGGTGCTTGGATTTTAATATTGTCTTTTCATGGTTTGAAAAGTGCTTGAACTTCAGATGTGGTGCTTAAAACTGCTTGAAACTATAACTGTATTTCATTCACAACAAATGACTGTCTGATTGAATAGTTTTTTGTTTGTTTGTTTGTTTTTTATCAGATAGAGAAATAAAATGAGTCGCAAATTCTAAAAACAACATTTTTCCACCTGGGCTGCCTTGCACCTCTGCATGTCTGTTTCAGTGTGTGACACCCGCCCCGAACAGTCAGGAATGAGTGCAATAACAAGCCTGGAGGTTGCAGTTTTTAATGAGCGTTTGCTGGAAAAGGACAAATACAAATCATGGATAAGACAACGACCAAATTCACCTGAAAGGTCTGCAAAATGATTTGTACCTTTTCAGAATGGGGGGGTTTGCTTAAGTCCTAGTAAATAATTTTCAAGTATGCGTACGTTACACATGCTAATTTTTATAACTATTACTATTTTCTTGCTAGCTAGCAAACTCGCATGATAAACTATTGAAATGCATTGCGCATGATGCAATATAGCAACGCTAGTAAAGCAGTTAGTTATGGTATGGTAATTTCTGAAATATGCTGTGAACTAACATTACATAGCAATAGCAGTAATGTGAGTTACTGTTATACATAACTACCCAACTTAAGGCTTTCTGATTAAAGGCTAAAAGCAAAGCTGTTACCAAGTAAATATAATAGTTTATATTTTTGTGTATTTCTGCAGCTTTTTCAAATATTATCTTGGCTCATTTGGCAACACCTTAAGGGCGATAATAATGATAATATGAGGGACTGATCCATATGGGCACAAAGAACAGCCACTTTTTTGTGCTACTGAGGTTCCCTGACTTTCACTCAAAATCTGTTCTCGTGAGCACCTACACATTAGACACCTTAAACATTAGAAATGGCTTTAAACTCACACTGAGGCCTGTGGGACGCTATTACCAACTGAGACAATATACAAATTTATATGTGTTTTCATATATGAATATTTCATACTTTAAGGCTGCCTGTTTATTTAAGGGAAATGAACAATACATTATAATAAACAATTACATAATAATATCACAGATGATAGATTAAATAAACAGGTTTTAGATAGATGCTTGTGCATGATTAGTCTTATATGTCAAGGTCAAGGTCAAGGTAACTTTATTTATACCCATAGGCAAGGTAAATTTGCTTTACAGAAAAAATGATAGCATTTGGCATCCCTTCAAAAACACACATACCTAGTAAAGATATAAACCTCCCTGTAGCACATATATAGTAATTTAATATTTTGAATCAAAAACAGTTCTTATTTAATTCAGTGACAGCAACGAAGACAAAGCTATTTTTATAACGCTTTGTCCTGCATCTCGGAAATAGAAACCTCCGTCCTGAGGGAAGAAGCTGAAATTCACCCCTTAGAGGATGGGAACCATATTTAAGGATTGATAAAGCCATCCTCTGTACCTGCTTAGAGGACAGGGAGGCTAAACAAGACTGTGGCTCACCTATCAGATGACTGGACCATCTCACTATCTTATTTAGAGAGTTTTTCTTTGTGACAGAGGTCTGACCAAACCATGCCACCAAACAAAAGGATAAAACAGACTCAATAAAAGAACGATAAAACAAAGTTAAAGCCTCTCCCAGTCAGTGCTGTTCTCCATGCCTGTCTTACTGTACATGATGTTATTAGTACAAACACTTTAAAGGTGGTAATTTAGGACTTTAACAATAATACAGACAGCGATGTAGTCAGATATCTTACAGTTAGTCTTATTTTTTGTGTCATATAGAAAAGAAGCATTAATATCTGATGAGAAGACGTATTAATTTGAACTTACCACATATTGTTTTGTGGTATTTGGTGCAGTTTTCTTGTTTTGTGGGGTTGTTTTTTATTTTCATCAGGAGATGAATACCTCTAACAAGTTGGGTTTTTTTCACATTTGCACATCTTAATTTTTAAGTGAAATGTGTGTTTTGAGTTTATACACTATAGGCAACCTTTTCCTTTTGCAGTATTTTTGTGTGGTGCATAGGATGATTTGTTTTAATTTTCACATGGTCTCACTGAGGTGATGCGAAGTGAAACATGCATTCTTTTTGGACAATGTGTCGGAAAAAGCTTTAAAATGGACTTTGAAAATACTTAAAAAGTGTTTGAGTTTGACCCTAAAAAAGGTGTATAATATAAAATGGTTTGTACAGTCTTCAAAAATGACTTATTTTACAGTCTGTATGGAATGTGACAAAGTCTATAACAGAATAGAAAGATTGCTTTGGTGATGTGGAAAAAGTGAATTAATACCATAAATAAAGTTGCGCAATTTTAAAGCCATTCTAAAGAATTTGTGTGCAGTCATTATAGGAACTGAACTGAATAACTGAAGTGAGAACATAGATTTTAATACTCATTTATTTATAGGTGTACTGGATTTATTTATGACTTACTACTATTTAAATGAGTCTGTTTTTGCCTTCATAACTACCTTATTCATGGTACAATTTCACAGAGGTGCCGGAAACATTCCTCAGAGATTTTGATCCATATTGACACGAGAGCATCACACAGGTGCTTCAGAATCACCTCCATGATGTGAATCCTCTGGTTTCATCTTGAAGGAACCAGTTTGAAATGATCACTCTTGAAATGATGAGTCTTGTGACATGGTGTATCATCCTTCCATTCCAGTTAATCTGGTGGGCTGTGATGTTTTTACATGATGTTCAATTGCTACCAAGGGTGTCAAAAGGAAAATCACCCACACTGTTACATAAACAACAACGAACTTTTGATCCAAGGCAAGATGGTTCCATCCTTTAATGGTGTTTACACCAAATACTCTAAACATTTCAGCAGAAATTGATGCTTATTGATGCTTGGGGCAAAAAACCCCAATGTCAGTGGTTTTTGTGATGAAGAAGCCCAGGCCACAACAAATGTTATTGCACTTGTGATACTAATTCTAATATGGCTTTTAGTTTTTGTTGAGCTGGTTGCACAAAGAAATGCTGAGTGTTGTTAATGAACTATGTTTTTAATCCCAATGATGATCTCGTCCTACATCTAACCAAGTGACAAGTAAAACTAAAAAG